AGAAATGGTTATTAATGATTGCCGACAAGGCTGTAGCCAGAAAACAATTTCGGGGGGGAGGTTCGATTTCGTGGAACAGTGAAAAACGTGTTATTTTATCATATATATTTATTACACAAAATCAAATTTGGTTTTCTAGCTTTCTTTGCAGCGAACAAATCAATCACCTCCCCGGTGTCGATGTCAATTCTACGATGTATTGACATTAACGCCAAACCGTTTAGTCGTTCCTGGCTTGTGGAGTTTCTTAAATAAGTTTTGACGCGTTTAAGAGGAGAGAAAGTCTTCTCAGGGGTACATGTGCAAACATGCAGTGTCGCCAAGATCTTCAAAAGTTTGCGAATGTTTGAAAAATAAGGACTGGTTGCATTCTCCAAGAGCTTCTATTGCACATGTTGGTCGATCTAGTTCAGATTCTTCCAGCCATTTTATCCGCACATGTCTAATTCAGCTTTCACAAAGACTCTTTCTGAATATTTTTTATAGAGTTCAAAGGAATTTTCTTGATATTTACTATTGATTTGTTCTTTGCAACACACAGAAAGAATTAAAATGTTGAGAGATGATAATGTGGCTTTATGATTTTGGAATCTCGACTGAAGGTGATCAATGAAATCATCCAAAAGTGGAATCATTATAGTAATTCTAATAGCTATTTGTATAACAAGGGAGGAAAGTGTTACTTTTGGTTTTGCCTTTTCAAGAAAGCAATTAATTTTGGGTATTTAATATCCATATTTTCTTTTATTTGAAGCATGGTACGTAGCATGGAATACTAGTACCACAATGTAGAGGCTTTTAGTGTATTTGCTAATATCGAAAAATATCCCAACATAACATTTTCTGAGTAAATACGAATATGCTTTTCTTCGGCCCATCGCTTGAAATGTAAATATTGTTTTTCGTATTTATCTTTAGATTTTTGGGGCAATAAAGATTGTACCATTACATTAACTTGTTCCAAAATATCCGGTGGTGTATTATTTATATCTTCAAAATCGCTTGAATCACTCATTTTTAAAATATTCTTAATATTTTACAGATATACCTATGGTGAATCACACTTTGAAACTGTCAAACGACCATAGCATGCTATAAAGTTTGTCATAAATTCGAAAACCGGATGGATCTATGAATCTAACAAATTATCAATGAAAAAATCGTTAAATTAAAATACCTACTAATTTATACCATATTGCAAAGTACAGGTTGTTCTATAAATAAACGGTAAACTTTATATTTATATAATAGAATAAAGTTTAGGTTGTCAATGCCGTATAAATTATTTCATTGATTATGTACCATGACGTCACTTTTACTTTTCCTCCCTAGTGAGGAAAAGTACGACTTTGCTCCCTACAATGAGGCCAGGAAATGTATACTTTGGATAGAGGTAGGCGGAAAAATAAGTTTCAGGATCTTTTGTGTTGTAGTTTGCCCTATGCTCTTGGTGTGACGTTATTCGCGGAATTTTAATTTCTTCGTTTACAGTACAGAGCAAATTCTGTGCATTCTGGAAAAGTTTGGCAAATTTTGAATCAAAATTTTGGCGAACATCTTCAATGATTAAATCGACATGTTGTAGAGCTGCTGTCAAATCGCAAATGGAAGAGTGAAGTATTTTGCATAGTGTCAGTGTGTATGGGAACAATATTTCTAAGCAACATAAGCTTATAACAAAATCACTTGAAATGACTGATCTCAGAAAAGAATTAGCCTTTGACGATGTTTCACAATCGATGTTAGTAATCCTCACATTTTCGCGCCCTTATTTGGTATTCCTCACAAAATCCTCACATTGTTCGGGGGGGGATCAATCCCCCTTGACCTCCCCTGCGGCCTTGATTGCCGAATCACAATCGAAGAAGTTGCTGATTATGTTGGCATATCGATTGGCTCATGCTATGAAATTTTTCATTGTTTGTTCTGAATTTTTGGCCAAAAAATACTACAAAGATGCTCCAGACTCCATATTCACCAGACATGGCTTCGTATGACTTTTTCCTATTCACAAAAATAAAGATAACCTTAAGGAGCTGTCGTTTTACAATCATAGATGACATCTTTGAAAGAGCTAAAGTAAATCCCAAAAATTGGGTTTGTGACGTGTTTCAAAGATTTGAAGACGCTGTGGTACAAATGGATATTATCCAACAGAGAGTATTTTGAAGAAGACAATATAAATGTGGACGGATGAATAAATATTTCCTTAAAAAACGAGAATTCCCGTTATTTTCTGAACATACCTCGTATTACTGGAGTTTTTTTCCAACACCAAACCGTTATTTTAACACCTCGACACGTGTTTCGGCAATTTGTTCAATCATTCAGTTTTTTCCTAATCATTTAAATGTTTTAAGGGTTCAAATTGAAAAGGGTGTATTTTTAGGAGAGATTAGTTTTTGGGGAAAAAGGTTTTGGCTTTCTACTTCTACGCTAGTTATCGTTATATATTCCTTGCGGAGAAAAATCCGATAAATTAAAAGTCATGAAAACAGTCCAGTTGTTTGTCCGTCAGTTATAAATGGTTTAATTAACAGGATTTTACTACTTTGTTTTATATATTAGATTTTCAGATGTTTTAATAGTTATTTTGTTATCCTGGGCGGAGACAAATCCAATAAATCGATAATCATGAAAGCAATTCAATCAATACGTAATCCGAAAGATACGGCAAAAAGAGATTTATTTTTTGTTATCGTTAATGATTATAGAATAATTTGAAAACGCCGCAAAGGTTTGAATGACCTTCAAAAGTCATCAATATCACATGAGAAGTGATTGATAACTACTAGTCCGGTCAATTTATACATTCGAAGCTATCTAAATTCCCACCAAGCTGAAAATCAGTATGATTTTTTAAAATATGATTAAAAATGGAATTTGAAAGTTCTCCATCTTTCCCCTGTATGGAAAAAATTTTATTCAAGGTCATAGGTCAAAAAATGAGTATTTCGCGATTTTCAGCAAAACGGCGAATTTTATCATGAAAATACTCAGATAAAAATTGTAGATCATAAAATTATCTACAAAAAAAGTTTCAATACTTTTTTTCCTACAAGCCACCGTTTTTGAGATATAACGATTCAAAAAGTTGTAACAGTTGTAATCTACATAATATGCACACGTTTCCACGCCACCTATGAGGTAGTGTACTTAGCGCGTGAAATAATGGATATTAGCAGATATTCAAAAGATAAAAGCAATTTAAGTTGAAAAAATTTGTGAAATTTAATCGTCCGAGTCGTAACTTTCAAATTCTTCTTTTTGTTATTCTTATTGATCTTCTTGTTCTTGTTCGTCTTGTTCTTCTTCTTGTTCTTGTTTTTCTTCATCTTTATCCTGAGTACATGTAAACTGCATTAATAGCATTGAACTAAATTAAAACTGTTATTTTATCCCTCCTGTAAAATGCAGATGTCGTATCATAGCCAGTTATTGCATGTAAAAAAGTATATGATTTTGACACTACTTGTAAAAGTAGATACACTTTTTGATGATTATATTTCCGATTGATGTTGAGCTTTTCCTGGTTTTCAGAAAAAAATAGTTTTTTCAGTTGGAGTTTGAGCAGTGAGTAATGCGAGTAAGTCTACATCTTCACCAGCAACAGTTGTATTTGCTGTTTCAATTATCATACACCAGCAACATTATTAGCTTGTTTTACCAATATATTTTCAGCAGTGATTTTTTTTTTTCAATATTGAAATGAACTGAGACTTGTTGTGAGTATTTGTAAGAAATTTTTGTTGACTGGTTGGAATTGTCATATTGTCATCAAATAAAATATCAATTGATGTAGATGTTGCTAAAGTTCGACGACGTTGTTCTGCAGCTTTGGTATTTCTCGTGCAATCATTATAGCCATCAAATACGACAGTAACTCTGGAACCAAAATGTCGACGTACATACTGTACCTATAAATTAAGGGACTGGGTTTCATTTTACCTGATATTCTTATAGTTATAATAGTATGTATATTATAATATATGTATATTTCATATTATAAGTGTAAGTTACAATGATCGATAGAAAAATATTTTAACATATATTACAACTATAGAGATGTATACGTGACGTACTCATGCATATTATGACGATTACAACTTTTACAACTTTTTGAATCGTCATATCTCAAAAACGGTAGCTCGTAAGAAAAAAGTATTGATACATTTTTTGTAGATAATTTTGTGATCAACAATTTTTGTCTGTAGTATTTTTATGATGAAACTTACCGTTTTGCTGAAAATCGCGAAAAACTCATTTTTTTGACCTTTGACCCTAAATATTTTTTTCCATACAGGGGAAAGATGGTGAAGTTTCAAATTTTTTTTCAATCACATTCCAAACAATCTTACTGATTTTCAGCTTGGTGGAAATTAAGGTAGCTTTACTCTTATTTTTGGTCTAATTTGACCGGACTATAAAACTACACTTGAGATCCATAATATACATACAAAAAATTGAAATTCGTTTGAATCTTCATGATTTTAATAATTTCCACTCTTGGTAATCGAAAAACCAAATTGCCTTCTCAGAGCTGATCATCGAGCTGAGTCTAACTAGTCTTACACACACGAGTATATGTATTTAGCATAGGTTCTTAAATTTTGAAAGCTCCTTATTGTTCTTCAGTCCAATTTAAATTTGAATATGGTACGTTGATAGATAATCTGTTATGAATTGTGCACACACTGTTCTGGAGTGGCGGTCCAGCTGCTATTGGAATTATTACATTTGTGCAGATATTTTTAGTTTATTGTCAAACATTTATATTACTTATATCTAGTTTTTAACTATTCAAATGTGTTTTTTATATTTTCCAATATTTTGATCAACTGTTTTTCCTTTTCCTATTGTCCTGTAAATTACATTTTTAATTTTGTATTTATTTAGTATGTCACCACTAATTTAAAATAAAAAGAAAAGTTCGATGGTAAAGTAATTAAATTTTAATTATGTTTGGATATTTATTTATACTATCTTTCTTAAAATAATTAAATCGGGATTTTGTAAACCTGCTAATAGTAGAATGTCAATTTCATTCTTCACTATCGAAATACACCCAACTCTTATCAGGATTGATGTGTCTATCTGCATTGGAATGAATTTGTTTGTCTCGTTACTTTGATATCGAGTTTGTCGAAGAAGTCAGTTCCTCAAGACATTCATATGAACGGGTTTGTGTTATCTCAGCAAAGGTTTAACTCGGTACAGTGAACTGTTTCGTTTTTGTGGACATTCGATAATGCAGGACGATATGAAGCCGTTGCTAATGCGAAAAAGTTTTGAATATTATGACAGGTAATATTTTGACATTTCGTAGTTGTCAGCACAATCGAGCATAATATGTGATTTATGTACCAGTCTCAATAATTCATGTTTATCAATTATTACTACTAAAAACTTAACACTGACAAACAATGATTAACTGCTCACAATTTCATACAACTAGAAACTCTCCACTTGAAATTGGATGAAAACCCTAAAGTGTTTCAAACTGTTGAAATTTTGTGAACAGTTCGGGTTCAATAGAAAGTTGCAGTTATAATGGGTTAATCAACTTGAAAGGATGAAGAACATTTCCTAAAAAATTGTTTTCTGGACCTTTGAGATGATTGGAGATTTTAAACTGATTAAAAGACTTCTAGGTTGCTGGAAACCAATTACACATAAAATTCGGTTCTTTCAAAACCAGATGTTGGAAATATTCGTGTCTCAATTAATCTAGTTAAATTAAATCCATTCAAGTTATGAAAAATATAAGAAAATGGGTATCATATTCACAACATGAACCAGAGGTATTTATGATGATTTTTAGCATTTGATTTTTTAGTTTTTTTAAGATATAGTAATGTATCAAATTATATTAACGTAAGATAATTTACGAAACGTACTAGTACTTTCCGGCATAAGTTATTAATACCTAAACAAATGATGTCAACCAAACGCATCAACATCGAATCGAGAGCAAGAGTTTCCCAGTTCTCCAACTCTTGATCCTGAACAAAACTAGAAGGGTAATCGCCTCCTCAAGAGCAGAATATCTTGCATCAAATTTTTGAGCAGTAGAAGCGGAATCTCGGAACCTTCACAGATGTGCAACCTTGAACATCCACAGTAGAAAGCTTAAGGGCATGCATATACCCTTCAGCTTTCTGCATGCATATGTACTTTAGCTTTCTGTGCGTCATTAGCTGGGTTAGTTGTTGTTTTTCCGTCGGGTATCTGCTATACGTACCTACATAGTCGTGCGTACCTACACATGTATATTCATGTACCTTCACATGTATATTTATATATTAATTTTCTACAAATATTTAAATTTATTATGCGTTTTCATTGATGAATTAAAAAAATATTTTTAATTTTTATTTATTATTTTCATTATCGGATACATCAGTAATTACTGTAGTTGAATGTAAGACTGAGA